CCTTGGTGATTCGGCAGAGATCACAGATCAATAGTGAAGTCAATCAGCAATAGTGCGTAAAAATCAAACTACCCAGTTAAAAGACTCATATTTCATACCTTCAAACAACTGGCCTCCAAACCCAAGTCACGTGCCGGCTGTGCATCCAAAAGACCCGCGAAATAGGACACGCCAGATTCCATCGCGTACAGGTTTAGGGCCATATCAGCCAGCATTGCTTGAACGAGACCGTAATCTCCGATCGGGCGACCGAACTGGTGACGTTGTAAGCATTGCTCATTCGCATATGAGAGCAAGTAGCGCAGTAGACCGGTTAAGGAAGCTGCCAAGTTCAAATAGTCCCGATCAAGGGCAGTTTGAATGAGCTGAAATGGAGAGGAAAATGAAAACTGAAGGTGCGAAAGGGTTTCTTAGTAAGGTCACACAGGTCGATGCATTACAGGTAGCAGGTTAGTATAAAACGTCAGAAACCTGTTTCAGGAAGATTATATATATATATATATTGCTGGGAAGTAACCCAACCTGATCGTGCTATGTTCACAAGCTTATGGGGGAGGAGGGAGCGTAAACCAACGCCAACATTGACTCACAAATTATAGATATTCGTGGTGGTTGGCAGCCCCGCTGTCGCCCGGCTCACTACCACGCTCAACCTATTGAGGCTTTATGTGGTTTACCAATCCAAGTCTCAGGATTGGGTTTCCGGTCTTCTCTCACAAGGCAAATGAACAATACAACTCACGTGAATTACAGAAGGTGCACTCTACCTACAAACTGACAGTACTCTAGAACCCTCAATAACATTTGTCGTTTAAATCGAAATGTTAATTCCGTGCACCAATTTCACCAACCTGTTTCTCCCTGGCTTTATTTCTCATTGTAATACAAACCTCTCCCGCATCAGACACTAGTCATCTTTATTTCCCTAATCACTTTCTCCATTATTCTTAAAGCTAGTGTCTGCACCTATATATTCATCATTCTATCCCTCATTCCCGACTCTTCTACCTAGATTTATCGAACAGTGAATTCCAGTTCATGTGACTGAATCTTCGGTTTCCTTCTTCAAATCGATATTTCTGTACCCTTCATCGCTCCCCGAGTAGCAGCAATCCTTCTATTTGTGATATTCTTTCTTCCAACATTGAAACATTAATTCAGGCAGACCCTAACGGCCAAATTACCACTGTTAGAGAACTTGATGTTCACAACGAGGAATGAATGAAGCACTCCTCAAACAATTCGTTCATGGGATGCGAAAACGAAGCTTTTGCTGTGATCAACAACCTGAGTCATCCAATTGACTTCCTCACACACATCCCTGATCGTATTGGTGACCGTGCCCACACCCTTAACCTCATTTTCACATCCACTCCCTCTTATTTCTCGTACATCACTTTCCTTTCCTCATTAGGCTTATCGGACTATTACTTCATTTCCTTTCGCATTCCTTTCTCTCAAGCCATTTCAGCACATAACTCCAGACGTACCTTTCGGCTTTATGGTTTAGCCAACTTGGACGGTTTTCGTGACTTTCTGGCTTGGTATCAGTGGAAAATTTGTTGTGTCAAATCTCATATCTCCACTTCTGTTTCAAACGTTAGAGGTTGTTCTTCAATCTATGTATCCTTACATTCCACACTTCCAAATACGGCGAGCCACGATCCCCTGAGCGGTGTAATCATGCTTTCAACGTTTCAAAACTCAGCATTCCATCTTTAGTGCCACTCACCCAACCCAAAATCCCGCAACCGCTTCGTGGGAGCCAGAAAAAATGCTTGTTTGCTAAACATAGCGATAAGGAACGTTTCGTTTGCCACAAAGATGTTCGCTTGCGTTCGTCCGTCTCTCGTAACCGAAAATGCTGGTCCCTCTTCAAAGCAGTTTTACGTAATTTTTGCCCTTCCAACTTTCGTCCCATTTGCAATTCATCAGGTACTCCTGTTTGTGAACGCCACGAAAAGTAGGAGTCTTCGCCTCCCAGTTTGTGTCAAACTCCACCTTATCTGTCGACTCTCTTCCCATATATCCAGTCATTTGTTTCTACCTATTATAACCACCAGAAACGTCCGCCAAACTCTTCGTGGTTTGTAGGTTTGTAAATCACCCGGTCGGCAGCAGTATTCCACCTATTGCCCTAAAATCTTTGCCTGGGAATTAGCCCGTTCAACGCCGCCTTTTCTGTTTTACACTTAATCATAAGTCATTCCCCATTCCATGGAAAAATTCTATTATTTTTTCCATCTCAAAGCGTGATAACTCTTCTGACCCTAAATACATATCGTTCCATCACTCTCCTGTTCGAAAGTATTTAAAATCATTAGTTCTGACCAACTGCGTACGTTTCTCGAACGCGAAGGTTTGGTGAATATATGGATTTTGCTCTCGTTGAACGGGTGACCGACCGGCGATCACATCGCATTCCTGGTCAAGTGTACTCGATAACCACGGAGGAACTTACATGGTTTTGTTCGGTTTTTCAAAGATCTTCGACTGCGTTTGGCATGAAGGTATGCTGTCGAAATTACCTACATTCGGATTCCACCCGTCTCTGGTATCGTGACTCCAGTGTTTCCTTTGCAAGCGAACCATCTTCGTCCGAGTCGATCGGGTCCTATCTCGTTCGTTTCTTGTGAATGCCGGTGTTCCCCAAGGTTCCATACTTTAGCCCACCTTTCTTATATTTATCAACGGTTTTTTGTCCAAAACCTCTGATCCCATTCACTGCTTTGTCGATGATGCCCCTCTCCATTGTTCTCTTTCTTACCCCACAATCCGTCAAGCTAATACCAACATCGATCACGATCGCAATGTCATTAGTGCTTCTCTTGCCTCCGATCTCGGACTAATCTCCTCGTGGGGTTCTACCAACTGCGTGTTTCAATGCTTCTAAAACTTCTCTCGTCTCCGTCTCTCTTAAACGCGTCCCTTATTCACCTCAATTGATTTTTGACTCGCTGCCCCGTCATTCCACAAGTTCTCGCTCTTCTGGGTTTATCTATAAATTCTTCTCCCTGTTTGTCCTCTTTCTCCACACTCGCGCTGCGTGCCACATAGTTTTTCATTCGACGCGAAGCACTTCTTTACATCCAAGCACCTTCTCCCTTTACACAAAGCTCCAATCTGTTCGATGCTCGAATACTACAGTCATGCATGACATGGAGCTTCGTATTCCGTTCTTTCTCTCCTCGATGGTGTTCAACTTAAGGCTATCCAGCTGATCGACGAACAGATTTTAAATTCCAACCTGCAGTCGCTTTCCCATCGTCAGACAGTTTCTTCGTTGTCTTTTCTATCGTTATTATTTCGATTTCTGCTCATCTGAACTGGCTTTGGAGGTTCCCCTCCTATTGACCTATTCTCATTCATCTTGTTCTCAGGCGAGCAGTCAAACTTATCAGGTGTCTGTCCCCAGATGTCGAACTTCTGTTTTCTAGTCTTCTTTTTACCCAGGACTCGAAATTGTGGAACACTCTTCTCATCTCCGTATTTTCCCAAATATTAATCATAAGTTACTTTGAGAAAGATGGGAGTTGACATCGGATCAATTGTGTCATTCTTTGCTGCTGTCGGGCCAACATGAACTGCCTAACTGTCATTGAAGAAGGGAACTGAAAAAAACCTAAATGAGCAATTCTGGTCAGCCCCAGCGTGCGCAGTTCTGCACAGTAGTAGCACACAAACACACACACTATACCCAGGCGATTGATCTGAAGTTCAAATCTTAGACAGGGGGGGGGATAAAACTCTTCGAAGGATTCGCCACCGAAACCATCGATTAGACAAGGCAGCGAGAAATGAATACCAGAATTCATTGGAGTATTCGATGCTTGGGTAGCTTCCAGTCAGCAGTTCACCGTACCTTAGAGCTTGGTCGGGTTAAACGAAGGAGAGTGAAGAGTGGGTCTGTATTTGTACGGTCAATACCAAACAATTGTAGTTAGCCTGAAATGAAGGATTAATGATATGATAATCTCCTTCGGTTGCTTGAAAGTGTTCACTTCAAGGGTATGGCAGTTGTTGCTAGCAATTTCAATTCTCGCGTAAGAGAGGCATCTAGGTGGCCCATTTACAATGTTATCCGACCCAAGGGATAACAAAGATTACAACTTACACTTTGTGCAGAACATGGATTGTTCATGGTAAGCACTCACTTCTCCTACACCGAACGATACCACTTTGAGCAGATATCTCCCCACTGATCACAGTGATGGGCTCGAATCGAGCACGATGTCATGGGTTACTGTTGGTGTGCACCTACTTAAGTCTGCAGCTTTTACTTGTACCAGTTTCAGTTTGAACAACCATTAACTATGCATTTTCGTGCACCGGTTTTGAGTGCTGTCTTTTGGCCACCCAATAGGATAAAGCAGTAAGAGAAAAACAGGAAAGTTGAAACTAGAGTTGAAGAGAAAGTGGAGAATTTCAGTAGACTTATGTTGCAAAGAAACTGAGTAGATGCAAGAACGCCACTCGGCCATATCACTCAGTGTCTCTAACCATCGCTTACAAACATCTCGAGGTCCCCAACCAGGGAGCCTAAAGCAATTTGTGACCAAGTCCCCTTGTTAGGATTTTTATACTAACATGCCAGGTCTTAGCTGGACCACCCTTGGCTTTGTTCCATCCACACCTGTCTCTGCAAACAGCGCTCGCCGTGGTAACCTATCTGGTGACATGCGTAACACATGCTCCAATCAACGTAATCAATGGAGTTCGACCACTTGCACCGGTGGACGACTGCGGTTGCCTAAAAATCTACGCTTAACCTCTGCGTTGCTCGTCCGGTTTCCCCGCCAGATTCGTGCAAGGGTGCATAGACAGCGGCGTCCAACACGGACAGTATATCTGTATCCTGTTCTTCTAATGGAAAAGTTTCAGCGTCGCATAACAGATAGCCGGATTTTGCGACGGCGTCACAGTTGGCAAATGCCAACAGGGCCTTCTGTATGCGATCTGACACTTCATCCTTGATGCGTCCACCGGGTGATGTAGCTGACCAAATAACAAAACGTATCCACTTGTTCTATTACTTACCTGGTTTGAGTGAGGCTGGGTGCTGAATCAACCCAATCTTGTAACAGCGTTTTACATTTTGAAGGCGCAAAACGCATACCAAAGATGGCTAGGCTGGCACTCAAGCTATCCAGAAAAGCTTGCAACCTACCTGGGTCTTCACATAGCAGCACAATGTCGTCCGCATACTACAGATCTGACGGCCTGCCATCTAAGAGCAAATCGATGCTATTATCCCTACATAAGGATAGAGCTGTTTCCATAATCGAATCCATAACAAAGTTGAAAAGAAACGGAGAGAGAGGGCAACCCTGACGAACGCCACCTTGCGTGGTGGACTCGGGTGAAGATGTCCCGTAAGCTCGAAGTCGGCTTCGGCTATTAGTATGTAGGGATTGTAACATTGAAATAAACTTCTCGGGGACACCCTTCAGGGAACGTCAGCGTCAGAGTTTAGAGCGATCGACTGAGTCGAAAGCCGCTTTCAGATCGAGGAAGATAAATATGGTGGATCTGTGAAAAGAATATCCTTTACTTGTGTGCCTTTGGACACGGACCAAGATTGCGGTACGAGCAAGAACATGGCGGTAAACAATAAGCAAGAAGATACAAACCGCTAGGAGCGAGCAGTTTATTCGAAGGGAAATATGCTAATACACTTTCAAAAGACAGCCACCTCGACGTTTCAATTGAGCCACTTACCGCACGCAGACAGGAGGAATGAAGAGAGAAACAAACAGTGCAATTGTTGTTGCATCAGAAGGAAAAATTACCTCAATGCCACCTCCAATTTTCCCCAGTATGTTCGAGGATGGAACTTGAACCTTTTCCAATATGATATCCATGACTACAAGAAAGCAAGCGAAATACACATACGCATAGAAGTTGGTTATGGAACTCAGAATTCACGTCTGAGAGACAAAAAACCTGCGGTTGAAAGGAGCTAATTAAAATTCGAGTTCCAAATACAGAAATTAGGACGGGTGAAATAGATCATTTGATATTGTAACCATATTGTAACGAGAAGGCGAGTTAGCTGGTAAATTGTTTACTGATTCAATTCAAAAAACAACCGGTGTTTGCGTTCAATTATATACAACCAATTCTTAACCACGCGGCAGGATGATTCATGCCTGTTGGTTTTGGTCCGCACTTGGCACGTACGTTGCCTCTTCTTCCGCGTGCCGTTTTGACTAGTTTGACCCGATCGTAGCGCGAGATAAGTTGATTGACAGCTCCGACGTTGTAGAATTCGGTGAATATCTTTTTGGCTAGATGCGGATTATCCGTCGGTCTGTAATTCTCGATTCGTTCGTTTGAAGTGGTAGTCGACATTGTCTCTTGAAGTATTTCCAGCCGGTACGTCTGCGCATCAGATTGGATAGGCCCTATTCTTGATTCGTTCGATAGGCGGGGCTCTCTTTGTACCACCTTCCATCACAATATGGCAAGCGACCAGTAGTACTGAACAGTTAACTCGTGTTCATTTTCCATAGTGTGCATCCTCTTCGTCCCGACCGTAACTTGAACTTCGAACACCCCTGTCAAAGGTTCCAATTTCACTGAGAAAAATCCCAAAGCTAACGCATATACCATAGGTCAGTTGCATAAATCGTCTCATCGGAGACCCGAATAACCATCTGTGATCATCATCATCTACCTGGTCAATGGGAACTAGTTTCAGCGTACGAACTCATCAGTTTGGAACATGTGTTGGATTTGGAAACTGACTAGATAACAGTTCGTGATAAGCACAGTATTGATGGTATACAATGGTATAATTAATTTTCAGAAATGACCCGAAAATGTGTGTCAATAATCACGTGTTTAACTCCGGTTCCAGGCAAGAAATATGAGCAAACAGAGGGTACGAAGACTATTACTAAAGCAACGATTTGCCAACAACGGCACCCCGGAAAAGGTTCATCTTAATTATGGTTGACTAAGTTTCTCTGAACCCTGCTCGGGTGGAGTCAAAAAATTATGTGATACGAAGCGTTTTATCTTATAGCAGAAATAGGTGTAATTGAACTAGCAGTATTCGAACAGTCCGGATCCCCATAGGAGTATAATCTTCGAAGGTGATGGTGAATTTGTCGATAAGCAATGAGAACCGTTAGTATTGCTTTATTTTTGTGACGCTAACTGTGCGAGAATGAGTCGATCTCACTAAAAGATCTGACAACGGATACTGCTACGCAAAGTTCAGAGGCTATAAACGACTTGCAGGTCCAGGTGTTTTGTCCGTCTTGACTATAGTGATTCACATCTTCATCTGACCACTGAGAGGTTTTGAACACAATGTTGGGATGAGCTCCATAGCGGAACGCGGATTCCTGAATCGGGATACATCGCTGAGTGCTCTTTATCAAGTCTACAGATCGTGAGGGAATCAACTGCTCAGGTGACCAACCGTGAATGAGTGATTTCCATTTCACTTATAAGAGGTACCGAACGATAAGTGGCGATATTCCAGGAAGTAGCAGAAGAATGCACCGTGCAGTGCGTGAGTATAGCACAGTAAAGCTACATCATCAACGGTGAGCCAGGGATTTTGAAGGACCCCATGAATTCAAAAACGATCGACGGTCTGCACAGTTCATACGGGCACGATGAATTCAGTGGGTCACTAATCCACCCGAAAGAAGTATGAGCCACGGATGTGGTCACCGGCTGGCAACGCCTATTTAATCTTTCTACTTTGCAGTACGCATTGGGATGTGCAAGGACTGAAAGTGCACCCTCAAACAAAATGATAGCCTAGATTAATATCACTTCTCACCAAATTCCTAAGACACTTCATGAACTCTCACACCACGACCGCTACTAGCTAACAAAGAACAATAAAAACTATAAAGTACAAGGTGACTTGTGGCTGATAAGGCGTTTTCCCGAAGGTTGGAGATAAGGTGAACTTGCGGATGTTACATCGTATTTTTATGCAATTAGACCGTTTAGATTACAAGTTAACCCCGATGTACTCATAAATAAATAACGAGTTTACTATTGTTCGAGTACCGATCAAATTATGACGAGGGGAACTGGAACAACTTTTGAGATTCGCATCTAGCACCTGACTACTCAAATGTTTGTCAGTAGTCAGGAAGAACAAAAACAACCGTTGTCACGCACACGGTGTTTTCATTGTCCTCATTTCTGATCCACGAAGACAAATTAAGCCAGCAAAAATGGCTTTGAAAAGTGTAGGACAATTTTCATGGAGGAAGCAACCGATTTCTTCAAAACGAGGAAAAATTACTTTTCGGCAATTCCGGGAGGTTTGTAACATGGCGGCTACTCTATATCTTCCAAACTTCAAATTAACCCAGCCAACCACATTCTTCTGGAAACCCCACAAATTGGTGCTTCAGCCGTCATGTCACTGATTGAATCGAGCCTATAAAAACACGTCCATTCGGAAGGAACTAATTTCTTTATAGACAATCAAAAGTATTTTTCAGTGAGTTGCCGAGCGAGAATAAAAGTTTCGGTGGAGTGGAGTTTGACTGTTCATCCCCAAACCCGGGAAAGTGCTGTAACTGACCGTGACTAGGGAATAGCTTCAGACAAGAATTCAAAAATCCAGCGTTGTTTGACCTCGATTGGCCATGTAAGGGAGCAAATCATATCAAGCTGGATCGATAAATGGGTAATCATGATTAGTCGTGGGTGATTCATTGCATGCGTGCGTTTAGTCGATGTCAACAATTCCAGTGAGATAGAGGTTCCCTGGAATAACACCGATTATTTTTAAACAAAAGCGATTTTGTTGTGGATTTTTGGACAATAGTACCACCCAAAAGGCACAGAATGCGATCGAAGGCTTCTGATACCACACGTATGTATGGTAGTAGGAGTTCCTTTTTTGATTTTCCTTTCCCCCTAAGACAGGATACGCCGAAAAGTGCCGAAGGTATACATTTGCATGGAATAGCTGGAACAGATAGATTTGCTATTGATGCGTGTCAGCACAGCGGGGCAAAGCGCGCACACCACTTCTCAGGTAACACATGGGATGATTGCTATCGTAACTCCGTACTTGATCGATCGTTTCGGTTTCTGTTTTCGTTTGGTTTTCGTATGATGAGAATGTTCAAGGAAGAGAATCTCAAATCATTCTTTCTGCTCCGCGGGTTAATGTTACTCCTGTATTAACCTTATTTGGATGATCATGGAATTGTTTAACTCTAGTTAATCAGACAAAGATATCGTTCAAATTATCGGAGACGAGAATGGTCTTATTCAAATAGCTTGATCGGAGATTCTACTGAGGTACTTTCTACTCGTTGATGTACTCTTCAGTGCAGATATGTTTGCATTCTGAGTTTAACCAGTTCCGTAATTTTTTTCACTTACAACGATGTTCCTTCTAGAAGACCAGATTTGTCTCTTCCCAGATAGTTATGCTCTGCGAAGATATTTGTCTCGATATGTTTTTAAACACCGACGTGACAGATTGTTTCATTTTGTTGGAGTTTTTATTCGATCCAGGAATGCAACCGAATGTTTGTGAACGCCGTTTTCAGACGATCCATGAGGTTATAAAAGATACCTCGAAGAAAAAGTTGTCACGAAATGGTATGAATATGGGACCTTTCCACCAAACAAAACTTCGTGCTTAGCTTGCCAAAACGCAAGAACAAATTTCGGAGACAAAAATATTGCGCACAACTGAGCTTCGCCCTCATGTGAAGTAGAAAGCACTTTTGTGTGTGAGAGAATACAGATTCAGAAGCGTGATAGACAAGATAAGGGATAACTTACGCCCAGCTCCGCGCACTCCTAAGGTGTTTAGCAAACCTCCGGGACTGACACCTGGAGTGCTTCGATCCACTAGAAATGCAGTAATATTGGAGGACGAAGGGTCCTATGAAAATGAAGCGCACATGGTAAATACGAGAACGAAGGAAGAGAAAGCGAAAAGCAGACTATGGGGTAGGTGATAACGAAAATCAATCTTCGACACATGGTAACACAGTGAAGGTAAATTAATTGTCCTTGGGAACGTCCAATAATTTTCCCTGTAAAATGCATTGTATTTCATCTTTCCGAGTGAAGGTAGAGATTAGGATTGCATCGTGTAGCAAACCCCTGTCCTAACAACTAGTCACTAGATAGAGAACTTCAGTGGGACCGACAGATGATGTGTTTAACCTTGGGTTGAGCTTACTCGATTCACCTGTCATTTTTATCAGACCAGAATGCTTCAAAAGGTATATATGTACAGTTATGTTCTGCAATCTCTGCGTCATGATGTTAGAGGTTACCTTTCTTTGTCTACTCCGCTCAGTCCCAATCCCTGGCCATTTTATGCATTTTCCCTTATTTTGTGTACCTGGAAAGGATTTCGAAAATCCTTTGCTATTCAAATTCTAACCTTTAACCATTTATATATA